AACAAAGTATTGCATTTACTTTATGTAAGAGACTTCGAAATGTTATTTGTCACAAATGGAAAAGGAGTGGAGTTGCTTTTAAATCTATCATTGAATTGGCTACTTTTGAGCATTTCAAATTTTGTATTAGATTAAAGTCAGATTTAAATTACTCAAATTCAAGAGTTACTTTCTCGGATTGTTAATTTTTGTATATTGCAGATATTGCTCCAAATTTTTCACCTATATTTACCCTCCGTGAACAATGATTCAGAATTTTCTTCGGACTGTAATTGTAAACTGTCAAAAAAAGCAGGTGCATGGCCCTCCGTAAATAATACATTAGCCAGCTTTTGCATTACGCTTTTTTACGTTTTATCTTTTCCTTTACTAACGGAAAATATGTAAATAATTAACAGAAGCATACCATTGAAGGAGTTCGGCAAATTTTCAGTTTTTTTCTGAATTTTGTGTCGGGGCCCCTTTTAAGTCGGGACCCGTCCTCATTGCGTACCTTTGAGGCATTGTAGTTACGCCCACTGCCTAGGGGCAGTAAAGACCAATTCGGATTTATTACGTCGATTAATCCGATTAACAGAGAGTTTCGCAGTAGATACAGGATGTATAAACATATTTTTGAATTTTGTAGATATACTTACTCAATGAACGCGTTTCATCTGTATGATTTCCCCTTTGTACCTTGATGGTTAGTAGGTATAAGGAAAATACGAAACGAAACATTAACTCCGACCAAATCAAATCGGCTTAAGTTACAATTTTTCGTTGAAGACTTAGTCCTGATTGCCGCTGTAATTTGTTGCTCACTGGTAATGTTTTGAGGTTTGCGGTTTAACATGAGCGCTCGGGAAAAGTCTCGTGAGGGGAAAACCCGCATTTATAGACCTAAGAAGATTTTTTATTTCAGCCCCAGATGACAGTCTCTTAAAAGTCATATTTGAAATCACATGACTTAGCAAGTTTTAAAGCACTTGTGTTTTCTTTTAATGGCACGATTTTGAGTGTTCGAAACGGAGATTGTGATTCAGGTGTAATAAAAAATACAATGAGATCATTAATCATTCCCTGTACCGCTCATATGAAACATGATTTTAGTAACCATTTTGTCGCAAAGCATGTGATGCTGAACCAATATTAAACACAACCTCTAAATTTAATCCTCCTGTCACTTCCCGGTTGATTCATTTATTTCCACAACCGTTTGTCTACATTTTATTTCGTTTTACAAAAAAGTCTTTGCCAAGGCTACCAATGTGCAACGAATAATTACAAAGTGGGTAAATTACATTTTAAATTAGAAATTCATGTTTTATCGTTTTAGATTGTAATATGCGGCAACTGCGACTTTGGAAGAAAATAAGCTGCTTTTGCAGTCCTATTTTTGTAATGGAAATAAAGACGGAAACGGAGTTTGGACGTCTTCAACTCGCCTGTGCATGGAGGAATTTCGAGAGGAATGTCCTGAATATGTCGTTGATTACGAGAACTTACGCCGCCGCCACATTCTTCGTGTAGCTAAGCGATTTGACGATGCAGGAAGTGTTCGGTGTGGAAAATCCCCTAGTCGCCCAACAGTTGCTAACGAGGTGGTAGTAGAATGGTATGCGTGAGAACTTCATCCGTCATCGTCCCGACTTTGAAAAACGTGTAAATTATTGCAATGGGTTTAATAAATCTCTACGAGACGACAACTTATTAGATTTAAATATTAGGTAGATTAGTTTATTTGTCGGATGAAGCTTGGTTTCACCTTAGTGGATACGTTAATTCCCAAAACTACCGACTGCTGAAAACCCACGTGTTTATCAGAAAGCTTCGCTTCATCCTCTGAAGGTAGGTGTGCGGTTACCGATATCGAGAAGGCGAATTGTGATGCCGATATTCTTTGACAATACTGTTAATGACGAACGTTACCGAGTAATGTTACAAGTGTTTATTGATCAACTTCACGACGACGAATTGCAAGAAGGTGTCTTTCAACATGATAATGCAATGGCACGTACAGCTTGTGACATTCTTACAACAGTATTTTGATGACCAAATTGTTGGTAGAAATCGTTGGTCGCCAAAATCACCCTTGCATTCCTTTTTTTTGGTCATCTAAAAAATGTTATTTATAGAAAGTGTTTACACGCCATTGAAGAATTACGTGCAGCTATAGAAACGACTGTTCATAAAATAACACAACAACAACATGCAGTTTTCGAAAACATGAAGAAGAGAGTGGATTTGTGTCTCCTTAACTGTTGCTCATTATTCAAGAAAGTAAATCACGTTTCAGTTATAAAATAATGTTTGCTATGCAATTTCAACTAATTTGGAAACAAACAAAAACTCGAAATATTAACCGTTGCGCCACGTCGCCATTTACATGATTACTTTTAATAAACATTTTAAGGTTATGTTTAGTATAGTTCTGGTTTACATTAAACACCCGGAAAGCGGTTTTTCGATCATTGGCAATATGTTGGTGGCCAGAACGCGGTTTCCACCATGTTACATAATTTTCCTGTTTGAATTCGATAAGAAAATTATACTTACTATCTTAATCTCATTGTTTATTGCCGATTTCATAAATAACAAGAATTCGAAATTCCGGGATTCATGTCCTTCAGCATTTTTGGTGTGTGCATCGTTTGTTGATCGATGCGATCTCCGCCAGCTACATCAGCAAGTGGATTAATTTTGCCGTGTGGCGGATCCATGTCATGCCTAGAAACTTTGACCGGAACGTCGTTCTGGCTGCAAAAAGTACCGGAACGTCGTTCCGCCTCGTTCTGGCCCCAATAGGTACACAACTGCGTATATAGCCGGACAGTAAAAATACTTGAGCAAAAATGTTTGCAGTAGAATATAAGCGTTTTAACACGTGTGACCTTTTGCCAAAACTCATATACCTATTTAATGAACAAATAAAGCATTTAACAAAATTATGCATTTTTATATTCCACCTACTTTTAATAAATAGCGTTACAGTTTTATTGTGGCAACTAGTTTTAACATGCTCCATGGCTAAATCCGAAATTCCCAATTTCAGTTTATGTACCTATAGTAGTCATCGTGCAGGTATTATTCGGCAAAGTATGATAATCGGCAGCTTTTGTCTGGTCAGATTTTACAAATACACCACAAAAGGCATATGAAGTTCAGTGCACCACTTAATCAAGGCAGACTGCAATGCATCGTATTATTGCTTTTTTTTCAAATATTCTTCTAAAATAGTGGAATGCAGCATGTGTCTCTTATACATAACAAATACCAACTCAGCCACATGCAATAATTTCATTACAAATCTCACGCCGAATAACAAAACTAATATTGAATTTAGTTCTTGTTCTATAATAAAGTTGGAGTGTTTGCGTTACATTTCTTGTTCAAGTAACCGCGACCAATTCAAACAAGTAGGTACACATGCAGATTTCTAGTATTTAATTTATGAAATATTCTTTTATTAATCCGATCGTTGACTCTTCTGAACACATCGTGTCATACTTGGATTACCACTTGTAAACTTAATTAGCTCTCAACATCAATTAGTTTTTAACTTCTTGTCTAATGGCTTACTGTGTAAGTTGTTTCATTTTCAATTGGTTCTCAAAACGTTTACGTATTGTTCTGAAAGGTGTATGCACAAAGAACTAAAAATACCATAAAATCTTCGTTATGTATTTAAAGAACAGTTATCACCCACCATATAGCATTGCGTAATTTTTCGTATATATGGGACAAGGTTAAAAATTAGTATTCTTCTACTATCGCTATACAAAAACTAGACTAATTCGCGAATTACTTTGTAAATTATCATCCACCTACCAGATGGGAAGAGATTCGTTAAGTAGACAACTGTAAAATAGCGCAAACTAAACTATAACTTAAATCATATCCACTCATCTCAATTTATTAATTAATCTTTTTTCAGTAACCTACATGAGAAAAGAGCATGTAGGTTAAATTAAAATAAATATCCTTCTTTTGCAGTAACCCCCATAACTATGTTAATATTTTCGGAATTTATAAATTGAAATTTTGCTAAGCTTTTGTTTTATTTTTCTTGGTCGTAGTGGGAAAATACTACATGTTGCTATTGGGGACATTTTCCCTGTGAGTTACAAGATAGATTAATTTCCTTAAAAGAAGCTACCTTTTAGCTGTGCCTTGCCGTATCCGTATTTTATTATGATACATTCTTGTAACGTATACGGCGGATGCTGCACTTTTTTAGGTTTTTTGTAATCTAAATTAAACATCCGGAATTTCTAACTACATAGATATCACAAGTTGTAATTTGTAGAACAGTAATTCTATTGTTATACGAGGTAAGTTTCTAAGGGTCGGTCAATAGTATTTGTTACTTGTTGAGAGACAAATTAATCATCTCATCTCTACATGTTTTTGGTTAGCTATGCATGCACGCCCTTTTGAGTAGCTTACGTCTGGTCTTCTAATATGCAATTAAATTGTGGTTTTCGATATGTAGGATTCGTAAATATGGCTTGACTCCTTTACAGGATGTTTATTTTGCCAGATGTACAAAAAACTACTTACCGAGTTTTTTATTTTTAATTGGCAAAGCACATTAGTCTTGGCGATGGGAAGAAATACAATGCGAACTTGGCAATGAATTTTTTCAATTTTTTGCTTGTTCAAAACTGAATGAGTTGGATATGGAAGAAATAGGGAGCATGGCGTTTGCGTAAGTGATAATAATAATCTAATGAATTGCTTAAATTTAACAAAAAGTGGATAACGGGCCTAGAAACATTTCGTACAATACATCTCATTACTAATTCGTATTTACGGATATTGCAGAAGGCGTTAGACACAGATAACCCCAGTTGTGATGCCCTCTCATTGAAAGAATGTGTTACACAGACGGGAATGTAATCGCTTTATTATATTAATGTAATGCATTATATACTTATTTGTGTGCAGCGCGATTTTTACTAAGAGAATTATGTCAGTTATCTTATCACTATGTTCTGATAGTCGGATTGGTTTGAGTACTGCAATACAACCGTAATTCAATTCATGACATGCATGTTTATACCTAATCACTGCTCTGAAATTCGACGGCAAAGCCGAATGTGGTGAGTGAGACTGCCCTATTGCATTCACTTTGTTCTTTCGTCCTATATCAGAGGATGGGTTTTCAACGTATTGAATTTATTCTTTTTGCACTCGTGTTATAATCGCATAAATCAACTTATGTGGAAAAATGTATAAATGAATTACCTAAGTTTACGAGTTTTCCCATACCATGTGCATTTTGACCAACACATGTCAAAGTCGATACCTATTTGCGCACCAATTTCGCAGGGAAAAAGTTTTGGTTGTGAAGTTGTATGACAAAAAAATTTCCATAAGCCACAGTTGGTCAAGTTAGTTTTTTTATTTATTATATTTTTTATTATACCTGCATCATAATCGCTGTTTAAAACACGCCTGAGCGTGCGTAAAAAGGTGATTAAAACACGCCGAGCTTTAAAGGTTGCTAAGTAACGTTACTTCAAATATGACATATGAAACTATATTTGTAATGTGGGACTGAAATAAAATATTCCCTCGGATCGCTTTTTGCAAATGAAAAAGGTGTCTTTAGCTCGTATCCTTTGTGGGAAGCTTCAACGCAAGTTTTGAATGAATGCACCGAAGGGTAGAAGATTTAAATACCTACTTTTGATATTTCCTTCATATATGACAGCATGAACGATGCATTTAAGACCTTGTTTGGTAGATGCTTCCTATTATTCCACGCCATTTTCATATATTCTTTATAATAGGCTTTTGCATTTGAATGTTACAGGTTCTTCTGCTGCAGAAATAAGCCACTGAATAGACGGTGCATTGTCTTCTTCAACCGAAGTCATTTTATTTACAAAGACAGTGATTTTTAATACGCGAACGTCAAGTGACATTTCCATGGCAATCATGGAATGACAAATAATCAGCCCACTTAATTAGAAATGTATTCGAGCAGCAGCGATTGAGAACTTCATCTACGACATGATCCAATAAAGTTAAAACATAGGTACGTTACTGGTTGAATGTAGATAGGCGTTTATCTGTCAACTGTGCAAAGATTATAATTATTATATTACATTAATATTTGTGTAGATATTATGTGCGTTTGTATTTTAGAACTGTATCTTACGCTTCAATTCCTTTTACAGGTTCTAAAAGAGAAAGACGTATTTAATGGGTCCAATAGTTCCTTACCAATGGTTGTTGAGAATACTGGTTTCCGCTATCAAAAAGATAATCCAAGAAACGGTTATGTAGTTACTCCATATTGCACTATCAAGGGTCCATGTTTAGATGCGTATGTAAAAAATAGGCAATCTGAGATTGTGTCTTTTTGAATGAACCGTGCGTAGTTAAAAATGGCACAATATCTAAGTCACGGCAAGACGACAGTGCAATAAGGATAAGAAAAATTAAACCCGAGAGACGCAGGTACTGATGAGAACAATATCATCTTATAACTATGAACATGAATGGTTTAATTCTGTACTGGAATTATTGCTTCAAAAACAATCCCGATCCCGAGTACCGTGGGGAAATGAACAAGAACAGTTTTCTTAAGGGGTTGGAAGATCTTCAAAACGATATGCTGCTGATGAGATGAGATTAGAAAATGAACATGCGATTATACCATTGCGTTTTCAAGCCCATAGAAAGGGAACATTATAACCGACATATTGGGAATTTAGTTTTTGTATTTGTGTGGGCTATGCCAGGGTTTTTGCCCCGAAGAAGGTTTCCCTGACATCGCATGGTTATGTGTATAATACAGGGTGGCACAACGAAAACGAAACATACTGAATAACTCATAAATAAATAGGTTTTGGAAAAAAACACAAAAACATCAATTTTGGTTGGACGGGGGGCATCTATTACTTAAAAATTTACACCCCTTCCGTTAACCCCCTAAGCCCCCACTTCAACAATTTTAAATTGAACGTTGGGTCGAGTGACACATCATTGGAAAGGAAAATCTTACTTTCCTACACGCGTATGGCATATTTTACAAATTTGAGCGAGTCGTTTGAAGGATACAGGGTGTCAAATGATAAATAATTAAAATGGATATTCAAGCTTTTACGTGAACGTGAGTGGCCACGTTCATAAAAAATATTAGCTGCACAAAACATTGCTGAAGAATATAAACTTTGAGAAAAGAGTCCAAAAGCTGCCAAAGCTATTATCAGCAATTAATGAATTGTCTCACATGCCAGATGCCAATTTTTTGACTTGGTTTTTAGGTATTGATGGTAAAATACTCATACGATTTTATTGCAGTGAACGAGACAAACCAGACATACATATGTTACATAAATAATTTGTTATATTTAGCCCTACAATCAAGTGTATTTTCCAAAATAATCGCTCGAATTTGAAAACTAAACCACAGGCGTGTAGGAATTTAAGAGCCCTTTCCATTGATGTGTCACCCGACCCAACGTTCAATTTAAAATTGTTGATCCGTAACCGTAAGAGACAGCTTGTCCTCTTAGATTTCCCTTCTCCCTCACCTGTAGTATCCGTGCTTAGCATTGGCACGTGCAGTTCATTTATTATATGACGGTGGGTAAGTAATAATAATAATAATAATAATAAATGCCTTTATTCACTAGGAATGGGCGAGGTTCAGCAATGACATGTATGCCATGTGCTGCTCTTCCACCTAACCCGATATAACATGTAGAAATTAATATTGATATGGCCACAGATAAAACATAAACATGTAAAAAATTAAAGAAAGAATATCTCCAGTGAACACTAAGGTACATAATTATTTATATACATATAGGTACACGTTTCATACACGCATAATCATATATAGGTAGGTATATTATTGGAAGTCAAGATTACAGTCGCTTCTCGACTGTGGGCGAGCGTTGTTATTACGAAAGATACAATTAAAATGATTTTGTTAATTTTTCCTTTACGTCCAAATAATAATGCCACCTAGTTAGTCAAAAATCGCAACATAGACAACCTGTTACAAATAATTACCGAAACATTTTTTAAGGAATTGGTCAATAGTAGTCGTTGATGCAATGGGCATATTTGTAAACGACAGACACATCCGCATACATGCGAAAATTGCGAGGAAAATTGACCCTTCCCCACAACTATTTCGGAATGTCAACTTACTCCAGTCTAATTAGCTCCAAAAGTAGTTTAAAATGGATGTTACCACTTCACTGAACGCGACCAAAAAAATCCGCTAAATCGGAAAATCATAGTTCCCCTGGCCGGAACATTTTGTAATAAACAAAAAACCAAGAAAAACGGGAAAATCTCGTTTTTTTCGCATTTGACTTCAATTATCTCGTTAATTATTGCTCTAAGCGAAAAAATGAAGAGAAATGAATTTTAGAATAGAATATTCCATAAGCTACAGTTGGTCCGGAACGTTCATTTTCAAATGTTATTGTGTTTTACGGAAAAATATAAAAAAAGAATCCCGAAAGTTAACAATCTGTTTTTACAAGTAAAATTCATCCGATCTTTTTGAATTAAATAAACACATTAAAAAAACTATGCTTTGTCTTTCACACTGAGCGACTCCCCAGAGCGTTCTCAATTTGTTTACAGGTAGTAAACCCTAAAACAACCTTTATCAACAATTGTGCCGATGATTCTTGCAAATCGACGGACTGTGAAATTTTTTTCAAAATTCGAAGAATTTTCTTAGTTAACAAATGGAATAATTTCTAAAATACAACAAGAACTGTAAATCTATAATAGGCGAATGGAAAGCTCTCGGAAAAACCTACATTTAAAAGAAAAATACGTTCACGGGAGAAATCAGTTTGTAACTTTGGGCCTGTGGTCGAGACAACCAAAAATGAGTTTCCACATCGGGTCGCGTCGAACAATTTTTTAAAGCTTGAACTTTTCTTAAGCTTCTATTTGACCAAAATGTATTAATTTTATTAATCAGTGTGTATTATAGTTGCCTTTCTTGTTATATTTCGGGAGTTATACCATTTGTTAGTTAACTACAAAAATTCCACAGTCGCTTGAATCATCAGGACAAGAGGGTTCCGCTATCTGTAAAGAAATTGAGAATGCTCTGGGAGTAATCCAGTTTGAAAGACCAAGCATCGTTTTGTAAATTTGTTTATATAATTATGCAATAACTATAGAACCTACCGTGATCGGGTTTGTCATATTGTTTTGTTATCAAAAGAGGTGACCAAATACGGATATTCAAAAAGATCGGAAGAAGGTTTCTTAGTAATAACAAATTGTTAATTTTCGGAATTATTTTCCCATAAAAAATAATAACATTTGAAAATGAAGGTTCCATACCAACTGTCATAGAATATTCCATTCTAAATAAATTCATTAGCAATAGTTAGCGAGATAATTGAAGTCAAATGCGAAAAGAAACTACATTTTGCCACTTTTTCTTCGTTATTTGTTTATAACAATATGTTCCGTCAGCTTGCGGCCAGGTAGGCTATGATTTTCGGATTCAGCGGATTTACATAGTATACAGTTGGTTTCGTTGAGTAGAATTATAACATCCAGCCGAAACCGTAATTTGACTGGACTAACTCAGTTTAATAGCGATTGAATGTGCGCCATAATGGTCGAGTGGCAAGGATACCTGGCTTTCAACTGGGCGGCTCGGGTGTAATTCTTTGCACACAAAGGTGTTATTTATTTTTTCACAAAAATGCGTATCCCAATCCAGCGGAGTTGGACATTAGGTTATTATTTTGTTGAAAGCAAGTGGAACTGGTTTCCAATGATATGGATGGGATTTGGATCTATCCGACTTCCGACTTGCTTTTAAGACTTTTTAGAGGACTCACAAGTCACATGCCCAAGAGCCCTTTAAAATGTTAGACCATTACCAACATTGTACAAAAAAACCACCGTAAAGTAGTTTAAATTCAAATGCAGTTCTAATACAATCGCAACCTAGCTGTGGAACCATTCTTTACTTACTTTTGGGAAGCTCAAAATCTTAGTGAATTATACCGCCAAGAGATTTTACTGTTAGAATTTTTATTAAACTAATACTACAATCGATAGGAACTAGTTTTTATAACGCAAGTACCTACCTATTAATGCACTGCATTGTTCTAATACATGACTCATTTACATTATCAAGTCAGTTTTCCGGTACAGTGTTTAAAAAAATACTTAAAACGGCCATCCAATTATAGTTTAAGCACGTAATCATAAATCTATTATTTAATTACTATAGGTACTTGTGGTTGACGTTAAAGTGCACCAGCTGAAGGCGAAACTATAAAATAAGGATAAATCACGAATTACGGTGCATCTAATTTGCATCAACATAGTTCACGTTTCCCACAAATTAATAATCTGGGCTAATCCGATAAGATTTGCATTAAGTATCTGAAGCACGACTTACCCTCCAGGAGTCACAGGTTGTAATGCATTGTCGTGGTCACCGTTGGTGAAGTGCCTTGGTGGTGGAGGTGCAATCTCTCCGGTTACTAATACTGATACGTAGATTAACACGATACATTTTACTAACGAGCGCGGATGTTCAATGTAAAAATTGAACATTTTTACTTATTTCTGAAACAAAGAAACAATATTAACGGATATTGTAAAGCTGCACGTATTATACTAAGAAATATTTTGACTCACACTTTTTCGCCACTTTTACAGAGGTTATCATGGACATTATATGTTGTAAAAATGTTATCTCCATAGAAATATGTAGCTAATAATTAATAGGAGTAGGGCAGTAGTTATTTATGCAGATAAGGTCAAAAAATAATCATTCACTGAAAGAATGTTTAACTTTGAATCTGATGATTGGTATTTTTCACGCATTGCCCCCAAGTAGCTACCATCCCCATTAAAGATTGATTACACCAAGAATTAGGCAACTTGTGGTAGGCCACCTTTCAGTTCATGGCAATAAATCAATAACACCTTTGACATTGAATTTAAAAAAAACTACACGCACAACATTATCTGCTCATAGCCTTGCAAGTAACTATAATTAACTTGCTTTTAAGGGAAATCAGATAAGAACAAACGAACTTGTAGCTTTAACTTTCGTTAATGTTTTTTTTAAATATCCACGGTACCTATGGAACGGTAGAGGAGAATAACCCCCGATCAAAATCCTCCCGGACAAAAAATCCTTTCCAGGAACCCCCGGCAGGCAATAATCCCCTACGAAATCCCTCGGGAGATAATAACCCCCCTATGGCATTTTCACCAGTTTCATTTTACATTCGTTTGTGGATTCTTTTCTAACGCAAACTCACATTAGTAATGAGCTCCTAGCGAGTGTGTAATATCATGATCTCGAAAACGAACGGACCGGTTACGCTGAAATTTTGCAGGTGGATTCTTGATCAAATGTGTAGTTCGGACTCCATCGGAGCCCGTGAATTGGCAATGTAGGCAAAAAAAGTAGCATAAAATTCAAAATGAGCATAGATTTAATTTAGCTATAGGCATACCAAGGAGCTCATTTGCTATATGTATGTTGTTGTTCACACATTTATTAAACAGTAAACTTGTATTGTTTTCCTTTAAATAATTTTATAACTAAAGTGATAACTTGGATCGCAACGAGATGGATCCCAAAATTAATTTTGAATAATTGCACACCTACAACACATAAGCTATTATACCTATAGCGAAAACCTGAAGCCAATACGGGCTAAACCTTAGCGCGGAACGACGGACAGACGGACGGAAAATGTGTGAATAGGAGGAATAATAAACTTCTGGAAAGACGAATCCAACGATAGTTAAATCGGTTAATTTTATGTAGGTATGATATTACTTTAAAAATTTACACCCGTGTGAATAAGCAGCCAAAATATAGAGTCTAAAATGTCGAAAACGAACGAACGATCATAAAAAACAAATTTGCGCACTCACTTTCGCATAGCAGCCATTTTCCAGCAGCCAAACTAAATTCATTTTAGATCCCCCCGAGATTCCACCCTTAGGGCCAATATAAAGCTAATCAAAACGAACAACACAGAATAGCTATTTATGTAAGTTGCAAATTGTCTTTGGCGCACTAGACGTGTATTTGTCCAATGAGCGCAGGGAACTCCACTTTCTTCTCTAGTTGTACAAATAACTATTACACTAAGTATAGCAGAAAGGGTGGAAATGGTTTCGATTTTTTCTTAATGGTGAATCTGCGTTCACAACAGCTGCTCGGTTCAATGAAGAACTCGCAGATAAGCATGCTGTGAATGCAAATTCACCCTCGGATTCCATTAAAAAATAAATTATTGTTTTTCTGCAATTAGATACCTACAAAAGCTTAGTGTTGTAATTTGGTAACTGGAGGTGTTTAAACATGGAAAGAACATAGTTTTTTCCAGATTTGCGAGCGGTTTTTAACGGAGGACAATGAACAGCTGAGTTTAAAAAAACGACTCTTACTTAAAAAATTATAACGCTATTATAGGATTGTCATTTTATGACGTGGCAGGTTGTTATCTTTTGCCTTCTCTTTTCCCACTATCAACAAACATTATACAAATCTAAATGATATCCATAAAAATTTGTAAGTGATTTTGCAGACCTCACTCAAAAATCCGAGCAAAAATGACATCAAATTTTCAAATTTCTAAACCGACAGACCTTACTTGGCAATCGGCCATGGGCGCTCTCACTTTTGCTAATATACGCAATAATTATACCAAATAGGTGTATGGATCATGTCTTTATCATCGAGCAATTGCGTATTGTCTTTTCCCAACAAAAGCCGTGCCTAAAAACCGATTTTCGGCACTTCTATGGGAACAAGAAAATTTTGCGTCATGCTTTGGCCATCGAGCAATTGAATTTTCCCGGCAACATTGGAGAATCTTTGAGTATCAACTTACTAAACAAGAAAATCAATTTACTAGAAGACGCGGTAGGTTACTGGTATCACAGATTAGCTACAATAATCTGTGCTGGTATGGACTCTAGTTTATAAACACGAAAGTACTGGATTCGATCCCCGGACCCACCAAGAAACAATCTTTGGCGTTTTTCTTCATGAAAATGAGTACCCGGGGTGCACCCTGTAGTAACAATGGACGGCTGTGGAGCGTACTGCTGGTCACGCCATCATTCTGGAATTCGTTTCAGTTATGGCGGGGCTAAATTAAGTGCTCCATACCAACTTATCCCGTAAAAGGTCGTCAGATATTCTAACGCGGGGATATTATTATTGGTGGAACTGAACTTAAAACGCATCCTATCAAATACCATCGTTAATCCACTAAAAGAAATTTCACAGTGAGTACATACACCAGTCACTTGAAATGTAGTCTTTTTCTATCGCTATATGTGCTTGCTTCTTCGGTTCGTGCGTCACTTTACAAAACGGGCGCAATTGAAGAATAAACGAAAATTGCGAGGTGAAGCTTTGGTTCATAACATTAAGTTGTTGCCCCAAATCAAAAATGTTGGTTTTTTGTGATATGTATAGCACTTATATTAATAAATACCGAAAAATACAAGACAGAAAAGTTGCTCGTACTGCAATTTTACAATAGATTATGCATTACACTTTTTCTTATGTTGCACAATTTTCGAATCATAATTACTTATTCCGCTGAAGTGAAAATATCCTGCATAAAAAATCCCGTGTGGAAATTGTGGTAATTAAAAAATAGTGCAATATTAAAAAGATATAGACATAATCTAATAAAAAATTTGATTATAAATATCTTCTATTTCTTGTGTTTTTTATTTTTGAAAATAAGTGAGATCATGAAAAAATAAATTTAATAATATATATATTTAATAACACAATACTTATAAGTTATATATATTTGCTTGGTATTATACAAGGTGTACTTACAATTGTCAAAATATACAAAGTATATAGGTATATATAAAAGTTGTATAAAGTAAAAAACATGGACAGTTATGATATGACAATTTGACATAATTTAATTGTATTTTTGTAATTTAATTGTATTTAATTTTTTGTATAATTTATCAGCAAGGTTTGATTGAGTTTTTGACATTCTCTTAAAAGGAATATATAAGTTCTCTCTCGTTCTTGTATAGTGACTATGAGTTGTAGAAGAAGTGGTACTGTTTAAAATACCATGTTTGTGGACGTGTACAACGAATGCAAAATAAAAACACATGGCACAGTTAAAATTCTTAATTTTACAAAAGACAGTTTGCAGTCCTCTCTGTATTGTCAAGCACCTTGATAACACGTCGTTATTAGATAGAAAAAATCCTGTGTGCTGCAGGTGCATGGCTCCATAATAAAATCCATATGAAAATAAACTTTCAAATTGTCCAAAGTAAGCTAACTTTGGGGCTTGCAAAGGTACCCTCGTCTTCAAACTCTTTATCAAAAATATTTTATTTAGTTTGGACGCTAATTTTTCAGTGTGAACATGCCACTGCAATTTTGAATCAATATAAACTCCTAAAAAATGGCCCAATTTTTACATAATTAAAAACAAAAACTTTCGCAGAATTTCATAACGATATATAGTAATTAAAATTCTAACAGTTGCTCCTGTATCTATTATATGAAAGTCTTCAAATTGTTCGTTGTTTAAAAACGAATGTGAATCTTTCCTACGCTGAAACTAACTACCTCAGTAAAAAGTAAAATTGATTTCTAATAATTCTATGGATCGGTTAGGAAATATACTGTGATATTTGGAAATATTACCAATTTTGCGTTGAAGTTACATGGAAATAACGTTAGAAAAATTCTAAAATAAAATTCTGTGATGGTCTTATTATATGATTTCATGTTTTGAAATTGTTGTTATATCAGAGAGGTATTCTTATATATAAGTAGGGCATTTAAAATTTAAATGACATCTCTGAGATACTTATTTCATGTTAAATTATTTTTACAAATGTTCATATTCCGTTGCTAAAACGGCGTTCAATAAAGTGCTTTTAGTTGTCATTTTAGATTTGCAAAATCAAGAAGTGAGTAAACACTGAAGAGGAACTTTTAGTTTGATAAATAATAATTCGCACAAATTTCATGAAATGAATTTCGGTAGGGTCTTTGTTTAATTTTACTTAAATTTAAAGGATTAAATAAATGATTTCGTGAAGTAAAATATCTTAATGAAAACCATAGCAAATGTTACAAAAGTAAATGCGACTAGGTTTTAAATTAAAATAATTAAAAGAGTTGGGGGTTGGTAAATTAAAAAAAAACATAAAAGTGCATTGAAATAAAATTTTAATCAAAAGGTAGAATTTCTTCTCTTTGTCTTATAAATGTCAATTTGGTGTTTCCCCCGCGATGTGTATTTAATTTTCGGCTGGCCTTACAATAATATCCCTTTTCCGTTTTCAATAAAAATGTTTTAACAAAAATTTGGAAGTCGAAAATTATGTACTTAATCTTAACACGCTCGATCCATAATTCGCAATATCCTCCCATATTAAATTTCAATTTTTCGTTAATTTGTTCAAGTTAACATGTGGGGGAGTAACTCATCATTAAAGTGTGTAACGATGATAACAAACTGCAAAATATCCGGAAGTTCTGATAGTTGTTGTACGATTACCCACATTTTCATCTATAAATATATAAATTTCAAGGCAGTTTTGATTGAATGAATATTAAATATCCGCGGATTTTACATAAAATATACTTAGCAATATAAAAAAAGTTTTGGAAATCGTGAAAATTTACTTACAATTTACTTTGCAGTCTTCTAGTAGGTTATACACGCAGCTTAATGAATAACATCAAAACACATGTCCACATGTCCTAAAATGTTTTATAATCATAAGTTCGTAACACGACGACATACAAGAGAAGATATTAATAAGACGCTGCTTTCAGATACAACTCCGAGATGCGACTGTCGTTGTAGTATTATCGTTACTGGAGGCTGCCGTCTCCACAATCTTAATTTATCGATATAATGTATTCAAATGGAGCTATGGTGGTTGTTAGGCTGATGTCACTTTTAACCAGTAGAAGGGCACCAGTAGTTGGCGATGAAGAAGATGATGATAGTGGTGATGAGCTGAGAGGATATCCTAGTCACCGATAAAATAAGGTGATACGCGGGCGTCGATTTAAAATGATTAGCTTAAAATCGTTTGTGTGCATTTTAATCTAGGTTAATTAAACCGCAATTTTCTATGCGATAATTTTTATAGCCATGGCTTCGTAATCAGGTAACTTACAAGTTCAACAATCGCAGTTGTCATTGATATCAATTTCACACCTACACCTACCTGATATAATGTGGGGTATAAAAATCTCGCCCTAATTAACTGAAGTTGATTAGAAATTCCGTTATCACCACGATTTCGGATCAGCTTTGTTCAACATTTAGCGTGATTGGAACTGGTCAATCTGAGAAGTTTGGTATACCATTTTGCTAAGATCGTTGACATTATGTTTGTGGGAACCTAATTCTCTAACCATCGCTTTCGCTGGAAGATTACGAAGAAAAGTAACTGTTTTCGATGCTATACGTTATCTCCCTACAGAATACGTGGATTTTCTTATATGCGTTTGATGGCACGCAAAGCCGAAAGCAGTACATTAAGCTCAATAAGATGATCTATAGATTAATAGAGTAGACTGAGTAGAGAATTAGTAATAAGATTTATAGCATGGAAAATCATCGTTTTCTATTCCATAAAAAAGATCGCATTGAGCTTTTTCACATATGTTGGGAAATACGGTTGTATAAATGACGTCTCCTTTCTAATATTTCCTAAAAGACTTGTAGCGTTGAGTGAAGGGATTCCTTCACTCAACGCTTGTAGCTTAGGTAGGTACTTTTTCTTCTCAGGTTCGTCTCATACGTTCGCAGATTCAAATCCCAAAAAAATTTAGAACCGAATAAATTACATCTGACTTTGACCTAATTTCCACCAATTACTCTAAAGCTGGATCACAAAGCGGCGACTACCTTTAATTATGCTTTAACTGTAAGCGCTCTCCCAACTCCGCAGGTTGAGGCGCTCAGCAGTCACTCACGTAGGGCGAGTCAACCTTCTGGAAGCAGCCGATAGTGCTTAAATGGTTGAGATTAAATAAAAATGTATCAAATAAAAGTTGGGGGGTACGATAAGCCTTTTAACCTAAAAACATTTTAAGCATGCAGGGCATGTAATTTTAAATAGAGCCCTATATATATTTTGTGTGTTTGTTTATTGTCCTTCTCTTGTTCTGGGCCCTCAACAGGCTTTCGCTCAATTACAGAGTGACCCCCGCATAATGCTTTTTTTAGAGGTGCCCTTGTAGAAGGTCTTAAGTTATTCTATAGTACTCCGGTATTTACCTTGCGAATTAGGCAAACTGCATGAAAACCTAATTCGGAGTAGCCGGAAGAATGCTCGAAACTGATCTAAGCAAATTCCCTGCCACATAAAAAAAATTCACCTCAACTCAGGTTCGAACACCCGACCTCTCGGCTGTGTAGCCCAACTTTTTACCACTGAACCACACAGACGGTGTGTTTTTGATGCCTGAAATCAGCCTGAAATAATATAATATAATATTTTTTCGTAATGCAATGCGCTTGTTTTTGCATTTAAAAGAAGTATGTGCTAAGCACGGTCGTATATACAGGTCTGGAAACTCGGGCCTATTTCCTATATGAGAAGTAACGCTCTTACGTGTCGTCAATCGCGTAGTACCATAAAGTCGTCAGGGCGGAGCATGGGTCGAGGGATGTTAAACAAAAACTACTTATACATATTGTATTTATAACGAAGTCAGTGTCGTCTAAATTGAGATTAGAGAGTCATTACAGAAGTCGAGAAGAGAGGTTTCGAAGCAATCTCATCTGGTGTTTTGTGTTTGTGCGTTTACAATAAGTAAATCGCAGTTACGACCGGATATTTTGGACTATTGACACTTTAAGCGTTGAGTGAAACTTTAAGGTAATTAAGATTAAGAATTAAATTGTTTAATCGATCGCTGGTTGCGTGGTGTGTGAAATCTGGCCCTGAGTGCAATTCTTGTTTTTTATTGATTTGTGTTGATTCAATTTGTTTCATCTGTAAATGGTTAGTTTTGTGTTTAATCGGACCCAAATTACAACCCAGATAACATTTTTCATGTCAAATTTTTCTACTTCGTACCCAGAATTACATCAGGCGTTAATTGAAAATTTGTTAATTAATTCGTTGAAATTTTGGAGAGGGATAAAGCAGCTGAATTTCTCAAATTAATAATAAATGTACGTCAATATGGTGATTTTCGTCGTGAAGGAGGATGGACGTGCCCTAGAAAGTTTTCCTAAAACCACTGAGTCAAAATAAATATCTTCATAAATAATGCCGTTGACATTTAGCAGTGTTGCGCATGCGCACAGTTAATTTATGCTATATGCGATGTGTCTGTTTTACTAGAAGCGTATATGGTTAAAATGTTACAGAAATATTTCCATAAATAAAAAAGTTTTACTATATGGGATGTTAGCTCTACTAGAAGCATCTGTGGTTAAAATTTCAATAAAATATATAAATAAATAAGAAGTTGATATTGTACAACCCGCGCATGCGCACATTAATGGTCAAGTTTTTTTTTGGCTTAGGTGCCAGAGCTATAAGCTACAGAGTTTAAAAAGAACTAACTAAATATATTAAAAACTGTAGTAGTTAAGGCCTCGGACGGACAGACGGGTGGCAAGCCAGTTTTGATTGTCATTTAATTCTGTGCTATGAAGCAAAGTTGAAGTGCAAAAGCTGTCAGCGTTTGTGACACTTAAGTGCGCTTTATATCGCAAATCTTGTATGACCAGACGATTTGGATTTTTAAGAAAAAAAACTAAGTAATTTCAAGATTTTTTATTTCATTTGTCGACCTTGTGCGTGCGGAGTAATATGTCCAAACAAGCCTTGTAAGCGTTTCTGTCCTTCAGGGATTTTGTTGTAATTTTTTGATGTGTTTCGGAATAAAATTGTGTCATTGTTAATGAATTAATTGTGTGTTTATTCGAATCCATTGTGCGACTCGGATAGAGTTTTGCATGTGAGATTCTTACTTTCGTGTCCAATGATGTCAGATATTTGGTGTAGTTAATTACTATTTGGAATTTTCGGAAGCTAATCGAAGCCACATAATCTCTTGAGTGGAGAAATTTCGTCAATATTAGGGTTTTTCTCCGGATGTGTACGAGGATTTTTTAATTGGCGCTGGACAGGTGTTTTCTGAGTGGTGTAGACGGTGCAGTGACCGCATCCATTTTCACAGAGCAGTATATTATACAACAATTAATAAATAGGTATCTCATAAAAATTTTGTGGTAGAGTGTATTAAAATACTTAAGTATTTTTTTCTCACTAAACCGAAGGTCTAAAATGGATCGCTCGCAAAGTTGCCAAAATTTCCATTGATACTATGACTTTTTCTCAGCATCATAACACATAAGAAGATAGGTATGCCTGTTTAGACTGCCTTTAAACCGAGGATCTCGATAAAATTTGGCATTTAAGGGATTTTCTATATGAAAATAACGAATAAAAATTAGCTTTTGAAGATTCCACAAAAAATTCATGATTCGTGATTGGACGGCAAAAATGCCCAAAATTTCATTTTTAATGAGATACACTATGTATGTCGAACAGCTATTTTTCACAAAAGTTATACGTTGTTTATCATTAATATCACCTAAGAATATTGCATATGCTCGTCTCGCTCAAAAAGTCGTTGCTGATGCGCAAATCAAATGTTTTTTTACTACATATTTGAGTAGTAGAGTATCGTTGCTATGACCTGTGTTGCTGCGCATCAGAATAGTACGAAATCGATTTTTAGCGCATTTTTGAAAAAAAAAAATACGCTATTATATTCGTTAGTGCTGGCGGTCTGTCTGGCTGGCTGGCTGTCCAGCTGTATCTCGGCAATTACAATAGCTATGAGACTTCAAATTTTTACTAAAAGCTTCTCCTATAGTGCAGATGTCCAGCTTTCATCATGCATATACTGATTTACAAATTTTTTGATTAGTTTTATTGCAGTAGAATTTCAAAAATTAGGTTTGGTTTCTTTATTTGTATGTTTAAAGATATTCAGATTTCGTTGAGATCGGAAGTTTCATTTGGTTAAGACATAAGTTTCATCCCTCCATATCGCGGTCTATTTTGGACATTCGGTTTGTATGGTACAAAATGTTTGTGTTGAAAAGAGCGCGCGATTTCCAAACGTTTCATTTTGGGCCTTCGGTTTATTTGGTAAAAAATACTGACACGGAAATGTAGCAGTTTGTGTTCTTTTTTGGATCTGAATCAATACATACAAATATTAAACAAATAACATGTTTGGACGTTTTCAAACGAAATAGTCAGAATCGATGTGGCGCTCGCATTACATACCTACTATAATTGATGCGTATAACTTGAAGATATGGCCAAAAAATACAATTCAAACTGTTTTCAAACTCTTACGGACACAAACCTACCACTAAAGCTACCATAGGACGAAACCTTATCGAAAGTAACAAAAACCGTATGTGTTAAATTAACGTCCCTATCTATATCTATGCTTCTTTCAGACGTATTTTGTAACGATATATGGACCTTTAATACTAAAACAAAATTCGAGCTCGAGGCTTTTCCCCATCACACTTGATTACCATTGTAAATTGGATTCGTAGAAAATTAATCCACGTACTTACCTACTTATACTGATATGGTATTAAATTTACAATAATCAGTTACCCACTTAAAATTTAAACCATAGCAATTATAAACGCCAACGAATATAAACTATGGTGCCGCGCTCGTATAAGTAAGCCATAAAAGATAAAAGTACCTACCACTCCATTAAGAATAATTATAGGTTTTTAACAACGTGTAGGTTCTAGAGAGGCCTCTAACTAATTCACATAGAGGCGAGACGCCAATTGCTTGGACTAATTAATTAA